AGGAATCTGTTAAATGAGCTGTGTATGGCTGACTAGGAGATATGCTATTCCCACTAATCAAATTGAAAAAAAAACATTTTTTTTTTTTGGTTGTAAAGTTAAAGCCCAACTCTAGCCAAAACTAGCAACAGCTTTGTATGGAAAGTAGAAAGGTTAGAACCTTTGTTAGATTTCTATTGCTGTTTGGTACCCCATATATTCTCCCTGTCAGTGTGGTCACCAAAGACAAAAACTGCAGTACAAATCTCACTAAAATTTTAACATTACTGCACTCTGTCCAATGTATCCAACATTAAAAAAACCCTGTACTAATCAGAGAAGGCCAATAACTCCCAGTAACACCATATGCGTCACCCCAGTGTGCAGATAACCATCCACATTCCCATCGCGCACGTTCCTGAAAAAGGCTCTAGGATGCTGAGTGCTGCAGCAACTACCAGCTGGATACTGGATCATGCATGACACAATGTAGATGCTTGCCAGCACACCACGGAAGTTGAGCCCAAATATTTTTTTATTGAAGTATGATTACATCACAAGCAAGAGGATGCAACATTTAGAATCCATGCAGGACCGTTCATCACATGCCTGACGAAGGGGTCCTGCGTGACTACAATACGTTGCACTCACTTGCTTGTGATGTGATCATACTTCAATAAAAAAAAAAATTTGGACTCAACTTGAAGATCTGTGGTGTGCTGGCAAATATCTACAATGTGACCCCAGTGTGCAGAGATCTGAATACAAAAAAATCAAGTAAAATATTGTTTTTGTTAACCACAGAAAGGAAGGAGAGGTAGTTTGGTGGTACAATCGTTAGCACTGGTGCCTTGCAGTGCTGGGGTCCTCTGAACTTAACACACACATAATGCAAGCCTTTTAAGTACTTCAGTGTGACCTGGCATCAGCCTCTTGCAGTCCCTGTATAGCAGAGCTGGAATGTGAGAGGAAGAAGCAGTACAACGAGCCAATTACTTCATGTGCCGATAAGAAGCATGCTGATAGAAGGAGAAAGCAGAGTGGTGGAGAGATTCATTACTGTGCTGTTTCTCCTTTCACTGTTCACTCACAGGATGGAAGTGGGTTGAATGATGCTGACCACTAGTCCGAGGACATCTAGTGACAGAAAAAGGTGCCGCAGGGGAAATCTCTGGCTTAAAAGTGAATTTTGTAGGAAAAGCTGTTTGTTATTTCATCTTTTGCTGGACTATTCTGCCTTAATAAATTCTCTAACAAGATGATTGATGCTTACAAACTACTGAAGATCATAAAAAGATATCTAGACACTCCCAGCTTACAACTTCCACTAGCCACACTGTCACAAAGAAATGGAAAAAAAAAGAGAACCATTAAAGTCAAGACAAAATCCAGCAGGCCAAGAGACATTGTAAGCCTTTTCAGCCATGCAAACCAAAACCCCCTTAATGCTGCAAAGGACCTGCAGGAAAGATTTGCTGCTACAGGAGCTGCAGTGCACCATGTGAATGTAGCCTAACAAGGAATTATTACATCTGAAGTATACAGTGTAACACTTTGGGGTTGATTTACTAAAGGCAAATAGACTGTGCACCAAACAAGGTGCAATTGCTCCAGTGCTTTGTAAATGAGATAAAGATTCACTGTGCAAGGAATACCCAATCATGTGCAAGGGAGATTAAAAAAAGCACTTGTGCTTGCACGTGATTGGATGATGGAAGTCAGCTGAGCTTCTGCTCATTTACTAAGCTCTGGAACAACTGCACTTGTAGACTGCACAGTGTATTTGCCTTTAGTAAATTAACCCCTTTGTTACATCTCTTGGTGATTCTACTCGTGGGATCTCTGCACGAGTATCTGGTTGTACATACCTGCTGGGCCCATTATGAGAGGTTTTAACTCTCCCAGTTGGATGGATTTTATATTCTGAAAAATGTAACAGGAGGAGCTGAAAGAGATTCCATCTTAAAAAAGTAGCAGAGCCGCATGCTGTCCGAGTTACCAAATAGCACTAATGTAAGGAAACGGCTTCAGCTCAATCTCTTCCCTCAAGCCATGCCCCCTTCACGCGTTTCACCCCTATAGGGCTTATCTCTATAAGGGTGAAACGCATCAAAGGGTGTGGCTTGAGGGAAAAGCTTGAGCTGAAGCCGATTCCTTACATTATTGTTATTTGGTAACTCGGACAGCATGCAGCTCTGCTATTTTTTATATATATAGGATCTCTTTGAATTAGATATGCTCACTTCACAAGCCAGCACCTGGCAGCAAGAACTTGAGCTGCTGGGTGGTATGTACCGAGCTTTTGTTTGGTTCAGATCCAGGAGGTTCTGGAACACATAAAGTTGGGCAGGAACAGAACAAAGTCAGCAGTAACCTCAGAAATATTTTCTCTTTAGGAGTACCCAAGACATGAAGGAGAGGGGTTCCTAGATCTGCGTATATAACCTTACTAGATCGGTCCTAGACTTTTTAATTTTAAATTTTTTTTTTTTTAATACATAATTGGAATGAAGGATGGTACATTATAAACAATAATATGCTCAGTGATATAAATCCTTTCCTCAAATCTGTGAATGTAATAAAGTCCCAAAGGTAAATCAAAAATCAAAAAATCTCACAAAAATCATATGTCCCTTTGAAAAAATAAATAAATAAATCCAAGTGTCCAAAGTTTGATTCAAATCCTCAGCATCTTGCAGCAACTTGATTTACCTCAAAAACAAAAACATAAAAACCACATAGTGCATTATCCTTAATTAAATAAATTAATGCATAAGAACCATCCAGTGATATTTCACCCAAGTGAAAAAAAGTGTATACATAAAAATATACAAGCACATGTGCATATACACAATGTGTAGTGAAAAACCGTGTATGTGAATCACTCTTTTTGTGCTCAAAAATCACACGCCACAGTGTACACTTCTACTAAAGTAAGGAGTAAATACCCTTACCAATATTCAAAATAACTTTTGCCTTAATAACAATCACCAAGAAGACTGTATGATGGGATGAGTCTTTCTGCCAGTATCCTCAAATTTCACTCTGAACTCATAACACCATATGGATCCATCCACACTAGTATTTCAGACCAATTTCCACCATATCCGCCGTCCAGATACCCATATATGAAACAGAAAATAGTGTAATACTGCCACACACTAAATTCAGAAGTTTTAATGGTACTGCTTACAATGTTAAAGGGGGCCCCCTTTATGATTACGTCCAATGACGAAACGCGTCAGAGGGAAGTGACGTCAGACGCAAACGAGGAACCGGAAGTGGAGCGGCGGCTATCTTGGAGAGGGGAATATTGACTGTCATAGGCGGTTTGGACTCTCCTGGATCTGTGATGGCAGAAAGGTTTTTCTATATATTTCACGTGATAAGCAAGATTTTAACATTGTAAGCAGTACCATTAAAACTTCTGAATTTAGTGTGTGGCAGTATTACGCTATTTTCTGTTTCATATATAATTTCCACCATATCCGCCCATCCAGATACCCATATATGAAACAGAAAATAGCGTAATACTGCCACACACTAAATTCAGAAGTTTTAATGGTACTGCTTACAATGTTAAAATCTTGCTTATCACGTGAAATATATAGAGAAACCTTTCTGCCATCACAGATCCAGGAGAGTCCAAACCGCCTATGACAGTCAATATTCCCCTCTCCAAGATAGCCGCCGCTCCACTTCCGGTTCCTCGTTTGCGTCTGACGTCACTTCCCTCTGACGCGTTTCGTCATTGGACGTAATCATAAAGGGGGCCCCCTTTAACATTGTAAGCAGTACCATTAAAACTTCTGAATTTAGTGTGTGGCAGTATTACACTATTTTCTGTTTCATATATGGGTATCTGGACGGCGGATATGGTGGAAATTGGTCTGAAATACTAGTGTGGATGGATCCATATGGTGTTATGAGTTCAGAGTGAAATTTGAGGATACTGGCAGAAAGACTCATCCCATCATACAGTCTTCTTGGTGATTGTTATTAAGGCAAAAGTTATTTTGAATATTGGTAAGGGTATTTACTCCTTACTTTAGTAGAAGTGTACACTGTGGCGTGTGATTTTTGAGCACAAAAAGAGTGATTCACATACACGGTTTTTCACTACACATTGTGTATATGCACATGTGCTTGTATATTTTTATGTATACACTTTTTTTCACTTGGGTGAAATATCACTGGATGGTTCTTATGCATTAATTTATTTAATTAAGGATAATGCACTATGTGGTTTTTATGTTTTTGTTTTTGAGGTAAATCAAGTTGCTGCAAGAGGCTGAGGATTTGATTCAAACTTTGGACACTTGGATTTATTTATTTATTTTTTCAAAGGGACATATGATTTTTGTGAGATTTTTTGATTTACCTTTGGGACTTTATTACATTCACAGATCTGAGGAAAGGATTTATATCACTGAGCATATTATTGTTTATATTTGTACACCTCTAAGGGTAGGGGTGAAGTGTGCTTAAATAGAAATTGGGGATTAATAGTGATTATTTATTATCATGATGGTACATTATGTTTGCTGTAGTTCAGGCTGTCACTTTGATAATTTAGTATTCCCTGGTATGAGGGAGAATGTGGCCTTCTCACCTTCCTCCCAGTTTGCAGTGCTGGGCCCTGAGCAGCCAATTAGCAGGCGCAAATATGGCCACATGAAGGAAACATAATTAACCCTTAGTACCCTCCCACATGGAGCTTACACAGGGTTTACACCGAGACCATCTGCATATGGCAGAGGAGGAAATCTAAATGGCTGTAAAACAAAGTACTTTTTTCTAAGATACATACACATACATTGGAATAATCATTGAATTCTCCAACCCTCTCCAGATCTAGCATGTGATGTATAAATCCAGTTATATATTGTCTTTCCGAAATCCAGTAAAAATATTTTTTAAAATTGACTGATGAAGGACAGCAGTTCAACCAACTAATGGTCTTGAGTAAAAGTCTCTTGCAATTAAAACACAGTATAAAAAAAAATATATATATATGCATATCACAATTTCCAGGCATTCTTCATCATCAATATAAAGTAGACGTCGCTGTCAACGGAGGCACTGACTCCAGAATAATAGTTAATAAATTCCTCTTTTGTGACCTGGAACAAGAAACACAGAAGAGCAAATGAGACTCTGCAATTAAGAGAGTGCATTCCTGATGGCATGATGTCAGTATTTTCAGGGGGGAGTTTGTCAAGGTTGGCTTTCACACAGGTCCTTAACCTTGAACACGTAACCAGTGAAGTTAAAACTCCTAATTTATATATTTGTTCTGGGTCAATATACCAGAAATTGGAATACAAGATCTCACTAGCAGGTAGCAGTAAATGCAAAATCTGTAAATGCAGCTCCTGGGCTGGTAAGACTGGTTTAATGTACATTGGAGTCACACATTTTAAGTGTGTCTTGAAATCCCCTTGAAAATATTGCTTATCTGACAAATGTTGTAAAGCAAGCCAGTAAAATTCACTTTTTAAATAGCAGCTGCAACCTCATTAGTTTCCTTATGTCTGCACAGACCTTTCACTGTTAAAGAGGGACTCCAGGTATGGAGAATTTATACATACCGGTAGATACATTGATTCAGCTTGGACCAGTGTACCTATTTATATACTATACTTGGCTAATACCCCTGGCAGCTGGAAAACACCAAAAAAGACATTGCTACTCCAGTGATCCCCAGTTGTTTTTGGGTCCCATGCTGGCTGTCCTAATACGTTCTGAGCGCAGAAGGCATTGCCACTTAGCATGGGTGTCATTTAGAAAACTGCTAAGCAAATAGAGATTACTAGGGTAGTGGTGTCTACTTTTGTGCTTTCCAGCTTCCAGGGGCATCAGCCAGGTATGGTACGTACATAGTTATGTTGATCCAAGTTGGATCAAAAGGAGATTTCCATTCACTTTCTGTACCAGAAACCCAACAAAGAGTGAGTAAAAAAATCTTTCAAATGCAAGAGGAAATTCCCTCTTAGACAGTGTCATTAATGTACAGTGACAAAGGTGACCTTTGGAAAATTTTCACTCCATTCCCATTTTGCCATCCTTTTGGCCTAACCATCCCTTTCTGTTTAAGTGACAATGGTCTTTGCGACAAATAGAGAGTGACTATCCCTACTGGTCACAGAAGGCAACAAAACTTGTCAGAGGTTCTAAACCAGACTTTCTCAACCTTTTCACCCTAGACCTAGAGGAACCCTTGAAATCATTTTTAGGTCTCATGGAAACCTTACTAAAACCAATTAATTTGAGGAAAGTTGGAAAAACCTCCTATACATTGGTGTCTAGTGGAATTAATGCCACCTTTACAGACAGCTAAAACGATCATAAGTGTCATGCAGCTGGATCTGCCAAGTGGCTTTGTCTCCAGAACCATCAAATTGGAGACCAATTAGCTTAGCTCAAAGAGCCCCTAGTAATCCCCGGAGGAACCCCAGGATTCCATGGAACCCTGGTTGAGAATGACTATTTTAAACCTTTTCTGCTAAAAATAAAATGATAAATAGAAAGTAGTAGAGGTAACCACGGTCTTGAGCAAAAGTATGTGCCCAAACAGGAGGAGTTTATGCCATCCAACATTTCGCTGGATCACAGCCTATGTGGCCTACAGTATGTGCCAAGGCTTTGAAATGTTAGACAGAATACAATCCTCTTGTTTGAACACATATCTTTGCTCAAGACCCTTGGTAGCTTCTCATAAACTGTGCGGATCGTGTATGGACAGCGTTGTCGTTTTCGAGCACAAGTGGATGGAGCTGACAGGAACCCAACTGGGAGACCGACATCTGCTGCATGATGATAACAGCCAGGGGGTAGAGCTAAGCTCATTTGTTTGGTGAGACTTTGCTTTAGTGCACAGAGGAAGACACTCCTTGAACAGTGTGCAATGCGTTCTAATGGATTTGATGCAAAATTAAAGGGAAGTTTGAGACACAAATACATAGGAGACACAAGGGGTGCCATTCCTGAGCTCCTACTACAAATGCTAGTTGATTGGCTGTTACTCTGAGCCAGTGGCTTTAATGCTGACTTAAAGGCTAAGTCCACCTTTTCCAGAAAATAGCTTATGCAGTAAAGGGGCCCTATTAGATGTGAAAAACTGTGCAGCTTTTTAAAATTATTTTTCATTTCATTGTGTTATCTGTAGGCCATTTGGGTCCCCTCTGAATCCAGTTAACAACCCCCATGTCCTGACATGTTGCTGGGATGCTGGTTTGCACTCCTGCAATGCTGGGAAAGAGCATCCAACAATTCTCATGTCCTAGCACCAAATCAGGACGTGGGGCTTGCTAATTACAAGTTTTTTAGCCGGCTCCTAAGGGACCCAAGTGGCCTACAAGTAAAACAATAAAAAGAATGACCATTTTACAGAGCTGCACAGATTTGTAATATCTATTGGGGTCTCTTGACTGCATAGGCTACTTTCTGGAAAAGGTGAACTTAGCCTTCAAGGGCCCTTTCACATGGGCGGTTTGTGTTTCAATCAGCAGAGGATCGGCTCACAGATTCCCTGCTTATCGAAGCAAAGCAGGGTGGATGAGAGGTCCGTGTCTGCTCTGCTCTATGTGCAGCCAGGAGTAAATGGACTCCACTGTCCATTTACACCCTACTACCTCCAATCTAGTCAACCAAAATGGATTTTTTTTAGCAGGCCTGATTGGAGGATAATCAATGGCAGCCTCCATGACTCTCTCATGACAAGTTTCTTTTAAGTTCACTTCTTTTATGAACTGTAGTCCCAGCTTTACTCAGTTATCTATACCAATGCTGCCATAGGCAAGAAAGTCACAATGGTACATCTACAGCCTGTACAAGCATATGGGAACAAGAGATTAATAAATACGATGTACAAAGTTACTTTACTGACCTGCATTACAATAACAAATTTCCCATAAGGTAAGGCTCATTTCTATCCTTTAGATATCATATTCCAGTCAGGGGCGGACTGACCATTTGGAAACTCGGGCACTGCCCGAGGGCCCGGGGTCAGTAGGGGGCCCCATGAGATGCCCCTGGTACCTTTTTCATAGGCTTTTTTGAGTTTGGGCAAGGATACAGGGGCCCCATGATCTCCTATTGCCCGGGGGCCCCATGAGTTCTCAGTCCGCCCCTGATTCCAGTAAAACATTTAATTCTCCTTAGAACTAATAGACAAACATTTCTTTATAACAAAGAGAAAGCCCACAACCAGGATATAAATAATAGCACTGACCAGAGAGTGATAATAACAGGAGTGTACGATGTAATGTCATCCATGATATAGTTATATATTCAAATCAGCAACACCACACTGGGTGAACGAAGCCCATACCAGAAAGATGCATAAATTAGTGTTAGAAGAAGGCACCACAACCAGCCAACTTATACTTTGAACAGGAAAGGTTAACACTGATTATCACATATCAAGGCTTGTATCTCCTTTTCCTAACTGAAGCATTTGTATATAAAAAGCTAATTAAATCAGGCAATTACTATGCTTTCTGTATTATTAAAGGCAAGATATATTTTCTTTTTATTATATTTAGGACTTAAAGCAGAGCTCCACCCAAGGGGAAGTTCTGTTTTAAGTCTTTGTTCCCCACTCCCAATTAAGGACTGCAACCTTTGGGGAGTGGGTACCCGAATTTGACAGATACTCGCTCCCACTTCCGCTGGGATCGGAAGTGGAAGTTGCCCTCCCCCCCCCCCCCCTCACCGTAGTCTTCTGGGACACGTGACAGGTCCCAGAAGACTCTGGGGCCATTCACAAAGTGCAGCGCTTCTCACGCATGCGCAGTGGGCACGTGGCTGTGAAGCCGCAAGCTGTCACAACCGGGTGCCCACACTGAAGATGTCGGCGTCAGGGAGAGAGATGGCCAGTGAAACCAGCCGTGGTGAGGACACCACTGGACCGAGGGACAGGTAAGTGTCTGTAATTTAAAAGTCAGCAGCTACAGTTTTTGTAGCTGCTGCCTTTTTTTTTTTTTTCAGCTGGAACTCCGCTTTAAAAATATTAATTTTTTTTTCATTTAGGTAAATATACAGTGTTTAGCTGCCTATTAGTTGACTGCTTGAAAAATGTCTGCTTACAGGGCTCAATAGCTTAAGCTCCATTTTACACACACAGCTGAATATGTCAAAGCAGAGACTCCTCTCTCCTCCCTGATGTTTAGAGTGTCTAGAGGCAAACAGCTGTGCTCACACTTCAAGTAACCCATAATGTCATGAGTAAACCCTGTATGTTTGTGAAATAAAGGTTTCATTGTAAAGCTGATCTAAACGTATTCACAAACCCCCCCAGATTGTAAGGGTTACATGCTCATTTAGTCTAGAGGATAGGAGGAGTAGGTTTAGGGCCCGTTCACACTAAAATGCGGTGTGGGAAACTTGTGTTCCTGTGCGGTTTCCCACACCGCATTCAAATCGCACTGCCATTGCAATCTGCAGCGGGTGTCAGTGCAAAGTTCACATCACACCAAACGCAGGTCACAAAGTGTGTTTGCCTGCACCGGATTGTATGGTACCAAACTACCATGTGATCTGGTTGCTGTGCATTTTAAAAGTAGTGCATGCACTACTTTTGGTGCAGTGTGGGTGCAATTTCATCCCATTCAAAATGAATGGGCTGAAATTGCACTGCACAGAACTGCATGTTAATCACACAGGAACCGCACAACGTTCTGGTGCAATTCACATGCAGCTTCCTATTGTGAATGGGCCCTTAGGTCCGCATCATTTGTGCGGCCACCCCTTTTCTGATGTAATCACGTACAATGCAGGACCAGTGAATCACACTATATGGTTCCATTTTCCTTTTAGTGTTTGCGATCTAAAGCTAGTTGGACAAATTTTTATATATATATATTTTTTTTTTATTTATTTATTTTTTTTATTATTATTATACAGGAGGATAAGGGGGACAGTACAATTACAATACAGTCCGATACGGAAGGAATTGGAATATTTTCTTTTTTAAGTTTTAAAGAAAACCTGTTAACTTTTTGAATTTTGCCCGTCTTGCTGCAAGATCCCACCGCAGGCTCCTCTATTATCCTGTCATCTAGTTATTTTATTTCAAGGACCCCCAAATTCAGGATGCTTTATTGTGCAGTGATATACTACTCACCCCTCATCACATCCCTACTGGTTTTGATCACGCTTATTGGCCAATAGAGATTTATTGGCCATTTAGGATGCTCCCCCTGTAAGCACCTCAATGCTTTATTTTCAGTTTTGACCGGAGCAATTATACCAATATACAATTTTACACTTTGAGAAAACATTGTGATAATGTTAGTATTCTGCAGAAGGTGATTAACTGATAAATATTGTTAATTCCACACATGAACCTGAAAAAAACCAAACTTATTTAGGCACACGTAGTAGGGTTAGTGGTTAGTATCTGTGTCACAAAAGCATGCACACGCTGATAGTGAAATAGTTGGGGTGATGTGTTAGTGATATAACATTGCGCCTTATTGAACCCATACACTTATAGTCGCCAGGCGTTCTTCATCATGGTGATAAAGTATACATCGGTATCGATTGACGCGCTAACTCCGGCATAGTAGTTAGTGAATTCATCCGGAGTCACCTGTCATGGTCACAAGACAACAAAAATGAAGAAACCTTTTTTTGACCTTTTAGGAAGAAATAATCCACTATGGGAAGGAACAATTTTGGAAAAATGGGTGGAATGACAGCTTGTTAAGGTGAAACGTTAGTGTGGTCATGACAATATGGACAAACACTTTCATGTTTTTTAATTAGTTCATCGCAGATGGCATCCGGGAAAGTACCTGTGAACTCAAAAAGTCCAGTCAGTTTACCTAATTGTAACCATTATTTTAGCATCTGCAGCCAAACTGAGCAGGGCTATCAGGGTGCCTAGAAAAGGAACATGCGGTAAGGCTGTACAACGCACATTTCTGGAAACTCCAGTACAGCATATACAGAGCTACAAACAAAAACAAATGTAGAATGAGGAAAGGGTTACAACTCCTTTTTATTCTGTGTCTCTGTCCTGGTGATCACAGCACCTCCTATTTATTGGATTGGTGTCACAGGGACAGGAAGTGTGGGAAAACTTCCCCAGTGAGGTCACTGGCAGAATTAAAAATCTACAGGAGTTTTAACTCTAACCCTAATAAATACATTTTAAAAAATGCAGCTGACGTTGGAGTTTGTGTAGATGGACATTGGTCTCCTGTGTTTGATGTGCATTTGAAAAGCAGGTGATCAGATTTGCACTGCAATAGAAAGATGACACTTCAGGTATTTCTTTGGACACAGCATCTCCTATTAAAAGAGAAGTATGGGTTTTTGGAAAAAAAAAAATTATACTCACCTAGGTGGATGTTGCATCTGTCCCCTCTCGCTTCCAAGACTGAGAACTAAGTAATCCTCCAGAGCTCACTTGAGTGCCAGGCTGTGGAGGGGGTGAGAGCAGCTGGTTCAGGCTCTCAGCGGCTCCCAGTTCAGGCATCTGGGATCTTTCCAGAGCCTGGAGTGGCTGAGTGATGTCAGCTGACATGGGCTTTAGCAGGTCACAGAAATGCAGAATGAACTGCACTTCTGTGATCCATAGGAGCTCTCAGCACATAAACATCAGCTGCCCAGTGACATATACACTCACCGCCCACTTTATTAGGTACAGCTCTTCAATTGCTTGGTAACACAAATTGCTAATCAGCCAATCACATGGCAGCAACTCAATGCATTTAGACATCTAGACGTGGTGAAGACGACTTGCTGAAGTTCAAACTGAGCATCAGAATGTGGTAGAAAGGGGATTTAGTGACTTTGAGAGTGGCATGGCTGTTTGTGCCAGAGGGGCTGGTCTGAGTATTTCAAAAACTGCTGATCTACTGGAATTTTCACACACAACCATCTCTATAGGGTTTACAGAGAATGGTCAGAAAAAGTGAAAACATCCACTAAACAGCATTTGTATGGATGAAAATGCCTTGTTGATGTCGGAGGTCAGAGGAGAATGGGCAGACTGATAGAGATGATAGAAAGGCAACAGTAACTCATGTCAAATGGACCATAATCTCTGAGGAATGTTTCTAACACCTTGTTGAGTCTATGCCACGAAGATTTAAGGCTGTTCTGAAGGCAAAAGGGGGTCCAACCCGGTAATAGCAAGGTGTACCTAATAAAGTGGCCGGTGAGTGTATGAGCGATGTGTGGGAGTTAAAGCCCATCCTTTTGTTGCCACACATACTGTATGTGTTGGGCAGTCATAATGGGGTTAATATACATCAGTGCTTCTCAAATAGTGGGGCGCGCCCCCCAGGGGGGGCACGAGGCTCTGTCAATGGGGGCGCGTCGCCGTCCCCCCCCCTTCCGACAGAAGGGACACTAAGTACAGGGGTGGGCAGAGGGCTGCTGTCTCTTACCTGGCTCCCACGATGATCCATCCAGGAAGCGCTGCTCCTTCCGTCACTCCGGCCACTCCCTCACTCCTGCCGCTCGGCTCCGCCTCCTCACCGGTGATTGGCCGCCAGAACTGTAGCTCAGGAAAGGTACACAGGCGTCCAATCACGGGCGAGGAGGCGGAGCCGAGCGGACCCGCGAAAATCGAGTGAGGGAAAAGCCGGTAATGTGCAGTGCAGAGGTGCTGCTGCAACCACATATGCTGGCTGCAGCAGCACCATACTGCAACAGGGGTCAGCAAGTGTCATTGGTGTCAGTGGGAGGAATAGTGCCGCATCATTGGTGTCACTGATACTAATGATGGGGCATTATTCCTCCCACTGACACCAACGATGGGGCACTATTCCTCCCACTGACACAAACGATGGGGCACTATTCCTCCCCCCCACTGACACCAACGATGGGGCACTATTCCACCCCCCACTGACAGGGTACTATTCCTCCCACTGACACCAATGTTGGGACACTATTCCTCCCACTGACACCAATGTTGGGACACTATTCCTCCCACTGACACCAATGTTGGGACACTATTCCTCCCACTGACACCAATGATGGGACGCTATTCCTCCCACTGACACCAATGATGGGACGCTATTCCTCCCACTGACACCTACAATGGGGCACTATTCCTCCCCACTGATACCAATGATGGGGCACTATTCCTCCCACTGACACCAATGTTGGGACACTATTCCTCCCACTGACACCAATAATGAGGCACTATTCCTCCCACTGACACCAATGATGGGGCGCCAATGATTAGGTCCTAAGTAAATGTTGGTGATCGGTTTGAATTCATTATTATTTATTGATTTTATGTATTTTTTTCAGTATCATATGGTTTGACATGTCCAATCCAAAAATGTTTATAGTTTAATTAAGGATTTAATTTTTTTTGAATTTCTAATGCACTTTAAATCTTTTCTGCTACAGTTAATAAAGCTATTCTTTGTTGTAAATTGATCCACATTTCTTTCATTTTTTATTCTCTGATACGTTAATAAGGATACAGTGTTATGCAGAGGTGTACTTATAACAATTTTATAGACAAATGATACTATTTACAGTCGCGCGGGGGGCGCAAAATGTTTTCTTCTTCCTAGGGGGGCATGACAGAAAATAATTGAGAAGCACTGATATACATCAATATCTATGAAATTCAAACAATGAGTCATGCAAATATTACAAAAACTTACAGTATTGCCAGCATTTATTTCAATTGTTTCATTTATTCATTGTTGCTGAAATGCTGAGATACTAAGAATGACAGCACAATGAGGTTGTATTATAACAAGGGGAGAAAACAAGGAAGCAACTGTACTGCAGCTGATAGGGCAGGTTCACATTAGCAGTGAAGGTGTTCCTGTGCAATCCACATGCAGTTCTATCTGGTACAATTTCATTTTGAATGGGCTGAAATTGCACCACAGAGCACCAAAAGTAGTGCATGCACTACGTTTGGAAATGCACTACAGCAGGATCGCATAATACTTTTGTACCAAGCGATCTGGTGCGGGCAAAACACTGCATTTGCGACCTGTGTTTGGGGTAAGACCCGCTGCAGATCGCAAGGGCAGTGCATTCTGTACGCAGTGTGGAAAACCCGCACAAAATGATGGTTTCCAGCACCACAGTGTAGTGCTAATGGGCCCTTAGTCTCCAAGGGCTGCAAAAAGTTTGCTGATATCTGATTGGTTGGTAAAGGCAATACAGACATTTCACAGGACAGAATGAACTTGCATTATTTGAAGGGATATTCAGTTGTTATCTGGGTAACTTCAAAAGGTATTTTCAACAACTGCAAGAGATCTTACAGCAATGAGTTGAGGGGAAGTGACTCAACAATAGGAAGGAAGAAAGAAAGAAAGAAAGAAAAAGAAAGAAAGAAAGAAAGAAAGAAAGAAAGAAAGAAAGAAAGAAAGAAAGAAAGAAAGAAAGAAAAGAAAGAAAGAAAGAAAGAAAGAAAGAAAGAAAGAAAGAAAAGGAAAGAAAGCAATATCTTACCTGTCCATCTTTATCATATGGAGAGTCAAAATTATCTAGAAAGGTCCTGAAGACCTGATCCTCTGTCCACTCCCCGTTCTGGTATTTTGGATGGTATTTTGCATTATACACCCCCCGTAAATCCTCAATAGTCACAATGCCATCTCCGGTTCTGTCCAGCTTCCTAAACGCCTGCATGATAATCTCTTTCCTTGCATTGGACATTGGCGGCTGGGCAGAATGAAAAAAACAGAAAAGTTCTCTGAATATCTGTCATCAATAGGCTGTGGTAAAATATATCTAATTAGTTATCACTTCAAAAAAGAATCTAGTACTCATCTATACATTAAAGTGTTACTAAACTGGACCCTGCATTCACTATATCTGGTCTTCCACAGTACACACAACATGGAACTGAAATTATTTTAGTAAATATAAACTGCTAAATATCTTTTCTCATCAGCAGTATATAGCAATCTTGTGACTTCTATCTGTGTTTAGCCCACCACTAGCTAAAGCTTTTAGGAGGAGTTTTCTTTCTGCTCTAGGAGGATGGAAATCCCCTGACCTCTGTTCCAAGAAAAAAAAAAACAACCTCTCTAGCAATACACACCAAACTGAGAATGCCTACAGTTCCGTCTGGAGATAAGAGGTGGGCGCTTGAAAAAGGGGAGAAACAGAGAAGAAAGGATCAAACAGCCTTACAGTGCAGAAGATTAACCCCTTAGGTTCCAAAGTGAGTAAAACAGTAAAATCAGTCTGTATATGCAGTAAAGCATGCTTGTAATACTCACTATGGAACCTAGGGGGTTAATCCTCTGCATTGTGTAAAAAGGATGTTTGATCCTGCGTTCTCTGATCCTCCTCTTCTTCCAGTGTCTCCTAAATATCTCCTGATAGAACAGAGGCTAGGGGTAAGCTGTACATGCTCAGTTTGGTGTATATTGCTAGAGAGTTTTTTTTTCTTGGGAGAGTGCATGTGATCAGCACAGGGCCAACCAACGCTGTCCAAAGAGAGGTCAGGAGTTCTGCATCCTCCTAGAGCAAAATGAAAACTCCCCCTACATGTTTTAACCAATGCTCTGCTGATAGATGTCACACAAATGCTGTAACTGCTGATGAGAAAAGGCATTTAGCAGTTTATATTTACTAAAATAATTGTATTTCCATGTTCTATGTACTGTGGGAGACCAGATATAGTGAATGCAGAGTCCGGGGAGACCAGATATAGTGAATGCAGGGTCCGGGGAGACCAGATATAGTGAATGCAGGGTCCGGGGAGACCAGATATAGTGAATGCAGGGTCCAGGGAGACCAGATATAGTGAATGCAGGGTCCGGGGAGACCAGATATAGTGGATGCAGGGTCCGGGGAGACCAGATATAGTGGATGCAGGGTCCGGGGAGACCAGATATAGTGAATGCAGGGTCCAGGGGAGACCAGATATAGTGGATGCAGGGTCCGGGGTTTAGTAACACTTTAACTTGCAATCATGTAAGCAGAATAGAACTTAATGAATGACACTGTGCAGGTGAGGCTGGTGCATGAGGGATTGGCAGCGAGAAGTAAACAAACCCAGAAGGCTGTGGGCATGCATGCAATGTAAATGTACATCTGGGGACAGTGGGTAGACTAACAGAGGGGGGGGCGGGTCAAAAAGAATGCATTTTGTTTAAGAGTGCACTTATCCTTTAGACTCGGTTCACATATATGAGAATTGGATGCGTTTTCAACCGCATCCGATTTGCATGATGTGAACCTGCAGCTTTCTCTATAGAGCCGCTTCACATATGTGTGGGATGAACCACAATGTGATTTCAAAAAGAGTCCGATACGATTTTCAGCCCGGTTCAGGTGCGATTTCCAATGTCATATAAATTAAAAATAAATTAAAAATTCACACCGGAATCGCACCTGAACTGCTGAGCAAAGTCGCACAGGACGGGGCTGAAATTACGCTGCCAAAACCAGCCCACACATATGTGAACCTGTGGCTCAAAGTGATTATGAAAGCATTTATTTTTGTTTTAAATAGCAAACATGTCATACTTACCTGCTCTGTGCAATGGTTTTAAACAGAGAAGCCCCGATCATCTTCTCAGGTCCTCCGCTGGCGTTCCTAGCCCCTCTAACCTGCCAGGTGCCCCCATAGCAAGCAGATCGATATGGGGGAACTCATACATGCTCACTCATGAGCTGGCTATATGTGACCAATGACAAACAGAGCGTGGCCCGCCCACGTCCCCTCTCTCTTGTCACTGGCTGTGATTGACAGCAAGAGGAGCCAATGGCTCCCGCTGCTGCTTCTCTGACCAGTGAGGAGAGAGCATGAGAGCAGACAGAGCCACTGCTCTCATGGACACCACTGTATTGTGATGGGGGTCAGGTAAGTATTAGGGGTGGCTGGGGAGGAGCTTCTTGCAGAAGGTTTTATACCTTAATGCATAGAATGGATTATGGTAAAAAACACCTTTCACCTTTAGAATGAATTTAAGACTACCCTAGGGGGTAATAATGAGTATTTCATAATTTCAACTAGAAATTATACACAAGAGTAAGGTTTTAAAAACATCCTATTGAGATTCCGGGACACAGACAACTTCCTCTGTTTTTCATCTTACCAGTAATTTTTTTGTGAAGCTGTTTGCTGTTTTGGGTTGATCACATATATTTATTTTAGTCCTTTCCTATATCTGCTAAATTCCGTAGGTCAGAATCTGAGCTCGTGGAAATGCAGACTCGTGCCTTCTCTGATTCTAAACTCCATCCTCTGTCTAGGCGCACACTGGTCACTGGAATGCCAGACTTCTCTGCAGCAAATCCAAACTCTGCACGTCATCGTGGATTCTCACTCCATACTATTAGGCTGGCCATAGATTCTTTGTTTTTTTTTCGATTAGCCACATGGCTGATCGAAAAAAAACAAAGATTCCCCCATCCCAAAATGGTGGAGCAATCCTCCCCGCTGTGCTATTGTAATCTGACGGGGAGGGCTCCTCCTGTGCCCGGAATACACTGATCAGCAGCTGAAGCCACTGATCAATCAAGTTTTCCAACATTACCATTTGACAAAATTAGATCCTGTCAAGGAGTCAATTTCTGTAAAGTGGGAATGGCCATAGATGGATAGAAACTGGCTGTTCTCTACTGAGCGTAGCTGTCAAATTTTGATCCATTTATGGGCAGCTTAACTCCATATTATAAAAAAAAAAGAATGAGTATACTTTAATGACCCCATGATGGCTGGTCCAGCTGGGATTCTTATCAGTGTATGGCCAGCTTAAAGTGATATTGAAGGCTATTATTTTTTCTTAATAAAAAAAGAGGTTATACTTACCTGCTCTGTGCAACAACATTGCACAGAGCAGTCCCTTACCTCCTCTTCTGGAAGTCCCCCACCCACACTGTCCACTTCTCCCTGCTCCAGGTGCCTCCTTAGCAGCCTGGGTGCTATAGGGGCACCTGTGCAAACCTGCTCCATAGACACACACAGCACCAGTAAGCCACATCCCCCACATTCCCGCTCCCTCATCAATGGAGTTTGACTGGCAGCACCAGGAGGCTTTGTCTCCCACTACCCTGTCTCCTGTGAGACCAGAAATTGAGGGGGTGTTGCTGCAGCCTGGACACTGCTGTAGCGGTGGCACATGTCATGTATGTGTTTAGGGAGGGGGTGGGTAGAACATTTAGTGGGGCATTTTTTTTTTACTTCAATGCAGGGAATGCATTAAAGCGCTATTAAACCCAAAACCAAAAATGTAATATATTGCAGCTTACCAATTAGATGTGGTGGCTAAATTAGTTTTCTTTTCTTAGGCTTTTTTACTCTGTTGTCATCTGGTAATCTGGACAGTAACACACCTACTGTATTAGAGGGCCCCCACTCTGGATGAAGGAGTTCAGGGGGCACCTTTGGACAGCAGCATTGTCAGTGTGGGGGGAGGGGAATGTTACATGTACTAGCAGATTTAAATACACAAACAAATTAAGTCAAACTCCAGCTCACACTTTATAATAAGTTACAGCAAACAGTATTTTCCTTTTGGGATAAAGTGAAAAAATAAAAGCTGATCATTGTAAGCACCCCTGCCAGTGTTAAATGGTTTGTCTCATTCCTGTAACTAATACAATCCACAAGAGATCTTGTTCTTTTAAAAAATAGATTTACTTGCTGGATCATCAAATGAAAACAAAAGAAAGAAAGCCTAAAAAAGAAAACTAATTCAGCCATCACATTTAAGAATTGGTAAGCTAAAAGTTTTGATTTTGAGTTTAATACTGCTTTAAGGTAGAAAATATTTTGACTTTGCAACCATATTAAAGCAGAAGTTCACTCTCTCAATCAAAATTGACTATTTTGAATCCCTATGCTGCTAGCATCAGTAAATATATAGGAATGTATATCATATTTACTGGTTTTAAACTTTTTTTTACATTTCTTCAGTTACTTCCTGGTTTCCATGGCAAGGTAAATGATGTCATACATTCCAGAAGTCTTCCGGAAGGGAGGGAGGGTTCTCAGCTCAACCTAAGCCTGAGATAAGGGCAGATGGATTCCAGGACGTAAATGCTACTTCATCATCTTGCCCTCACACAAGATGCCCTCTGCCAGAAATGCTTTTTTTAAAGTGATTTCTCAATAAAATAAAGCATGGTGACATGGATGGATGGGGTGAGTTTGAAAACTAAAAAATGAATTAAATAGCGTTTTTGGTTTGCAGTGCTCAGATGCCGTGCAGTTCCACTTTAGGCTTGCCAATGTCTAACCCTGCCTTTTTCAACAAGGGTGCCTTGAGGTTTCTTCAGGGGTGCCTTGGCAAAATTTCTAAAAACTGCCCAAAACTTGTGTACAAGCCAGCGGGTGGAACAAGTCTGAATTTTAGTTACACAAAGCCACGGGTTTTTATTGTGCACCATTACGACCTTCTAGCCACCGGCATCCTGACAACCAGTGACATCATCAGTTGATAACGAGGTTGTTGGTTGCTCGCACAACATCCTTGTTTGACCCTCCCCTGCCCCTCTCCATCAGCACTGGGGTCACAATAGCTCAGTGATGGAGGGAAAAGAGAAACACTGAACTACTCATCAGTACTAGTGTACAAAAGTGTATTTGCTTTGGAAGAATGAATGACCTCTAATATTGGGTGCCCTACATGTGAGGATGTGAGACCGTCCATAATCTTAAAGGGTGCTTCGGGACTGTCTATAATTTTAAAGGATGCCTTGACTGAAAAAAGGTTGAGAAACACTGGTGTAACCAAAAGGAGAAATATCACCTTTTGGTGGACTGATCCTTTAACCTCCCTGGCGGTATTCCCGAGTGTAGCTCGGGGTAAAATTTCAGTACCAAAAGCGGTAACCCCGAGCTACACTCGGGCTTATCATGCGGCGCTGCATAGGGAGTCCCTGCAGCACTTACCTTGTCCTTCGCTCCCGCGATGTGTTCCCTGCAGCGTCCCCGGCCATCTCCTCCTGCCGATGCCGGCATCCGGCTTCTGTGTTCCGGTCCCTGTGACGTTGGGACGTACGGGTGCCGCCGGCGGCGGGAAATTTGAAAATTTAAAAAAATGTCATTTTTTTCCAAACAAATTTTACATAGTAAAACATTGCTGTTTCAACTCATTTCACATACATTTTCTCCCTAGTGCTTTGTCCTGTGCCCTGCCTGCATTTTGTCTGTTCTTTCTGCCTGGAAACTGAGAAAAGTCCATGGCGTCCAAAAAGCGTCCCTTTAGGTCGAAAGCAGTTTTAGACCAGCTAGAGAACAGCGATAGTAAATCAGAACTACTTGCAGAATTGAGTGATAATGATTTGTGGGGAAATTCGTCATCAGACACTGAAAACGATTTTGCGACTTTGCTCAGCGTTGTGCGATTATATTATTGAATTACATGTATTATTATTATATTATTATTTTTTATGATTATTTATTAAATTATAATTTATGATTTCGTGTTTCAAGTTTTATCATACCCGGGATGTTTAATAGACTCTTGTTCGGTCAGATTTCCGTGAGTTATTCCTAAAAATGACAGCCTACAATAAAAAAACTACATATTTCCATGCAAAAAAATGTACCGCTTTCAGCACCAAAAATCAGAAATAATCATACCGCTAGGGAGGTTAAATAAGTTACAACGTTATCACAGAAGACTCACCCTTAATGTGACCAGGAATTCATCAAAGTCTATTGTTCCACTACTATCTTTGTCAAATACACTGAAAAGGTTTTGAGCCTCTACTTTATCCATCATCACTCCATAGTCATTCAGTCCCTTCAGAAACTCTTTGAAATCCAGGCTCCTGCTGTTGTCATCATCCATGATCTTAAATACTCTGCAGAGAAAAAGTTCCAGTGAAAAAAAAACACAATAAGAAATATTTTTGATACACAAATCTAACCTAGTAATACAATTTCGGAATTCTTCCACGAGCAGAATACGCTGTGCATGGCTATTTGTGCATAACCGCCAACATTTGAAAAGTATGCCCACGCTCAAGTGGCGGCTGTTACATGCATTTAGCCGTGCACAGCGTATTCTGCAATGCATGTCAATGGGCTAAATTACTCCGGTAAGTTTCCTGATTGGATGAGGTGGAGATTGTGATGTCACCACCTCTCCTCTTAAACGAGAATTAAAGGTCTAAAGGTAGCCATATATAAGTAGATGTTCTAAGAAACGCTCATACGAATATTTGTACAAAAATTCTCATTAGTACATTTGATGACCTTACAAATATCATTTGAAAGTACTTTAAAAAACATTTATTTCAGTGTTTGGTGGATGCTGGAGAGATGACAGTTTCTGGGCTCTCTCAGGGACTCTGTTGGTGACATCTCAGTTCCCAGCTCTGAACACCTGAAAATCTGTGACCATAATGAGGGCCTCCCACTCTCCATGTTGGGTTTGTATATGTTTTATATTATGGAAAATGTAAGAAAAGACATAGCTGGAAAACACGAGGGTGGGCAGGGACAGACAAATCGCCTAGGTGGACAGAAGATTTTAATATTGAGGCAGAGGCTGACTGCTCCACCTATGACCAAATATCGTTCTTGGGTGGACTGAACCTTTAAATATTTTCCTCTGGATGGTCAGTATCAGGCATTCCTAACTTCTAGTCTTGACCTTACAAAAGGTCTGTAAAGATCAAATGCCGCCACTAAGGCACTCTCAGGCACAGTCACACTCCTGCCTCCTCCACATACAATACAGGGTAATCGCCCTGCACTGTATATGATAAGGTTGAGGGACCACCAACAACCCAGAAAGCCAGGTGAAGAGGATAGCTGTGGAGCAGTCCGACTGGCATCAAGGTAAGTAATACAGCCTCTTCAGCTTCACTTCGACCTAGCATTTAACCCTTGTAGTTGGGAGGGGGGGGGGCACTGCAAGGGTATATTTTTTCTAATTCCTGGAGTTCGGCTTTAAGAACAATATGACTGCCACAAGTCACTTCAAACATACCAGGGAGTGCCATGAGGCTCAGTGGTTATTTTCTGGGGATCGTTATTGATCGCTGATAGTGTCACTGCCCAGCTTACCTTCCTAATCCCTTGATTCCAGCAGAGCCCCTGGCAAGACATTGTAATCTGAGTTTTTCCAATGGATCTGTGCAAGCAGCCAGGTTCTTCTTGGCCTGCATAGACATTTCCCGGTCATGTCTTGCTGTACCCGACATCTGTGGGATATGGGAAAAAACAGAGAGGTCAATCCTTGAAAGCCTTGGGAATCACCACCACAACAGTTTTGATTGGGGTGGGAAGAGAATATTTCTGTCAACCTTTTACTTCTGTTTGTGAGCCCAACAAGAACAAGCAGTGCAAAGAACTAGAATACTGTACAACAGTGTTGGGATGACATCAGAAGTACATATGTGCATGCACCAATATACAAAACAAAGGTCGTTGTCAGCTGCTTGCGAGAACATGCTAATTTATGTGAGCACATTGGTTCACGGGCGCACACTACACAGATGTATGGACACACAGGCATACAGGCATGCATGACCAATCTCTTGATGCCAGACGGCCTAATTAAGTAACACAGTTGAACCAGGAAGATGCTGGAAGATGCATGGTCTTCAGTTGTTATCCTGCTACCTGAAGCTGCACCTGTTCCTGTGATCTGCTTACCTGTTGATGCCCCTAGACCCACTGCTGACCCCAGGCTTGCCCCTGGATTCATCTCTGCTTTGATTTCCTCTTGTAACCCAGATTTATCCCATCCCTGCCTTTGTTTGCCTGCTTGCTTCTGACTTGGCCAGTTCCTGACCATGGCTCCTGGTGTGACCTCAGCCTTCCTCTTGACCATCATTCTGCTGACTTCCCAGTTTGACCTCAGCCTTGCCCTGGACAATGACTCTACTTTCTGTCTCGCCTGCTGTCTTCCTCCTCAGTTGCTAACCACCGCCTGTCTCAGACCCTTTCAGCCTGTTGTGGGTTCCAGTGTTCCTGTCAGTGGATATCCAGTTCGCTTCACCACGGTGACCATCTCTGCAACCCTGCCCCTCGTTGATCATCTTATCAGTCTGAACATGCATCTCACAGTCAAGCCTTCTGCCAGAAATGTGTTTTAGGAACCGAGATTTTTGACAGCCATGACACTTTGGGGTTTATTTACTAAAGCTGGAGAGTCCAAAATCAGACTCCCTTCTGCATAGAAACCAATCAGCTTCCAGGTTTCATTGCCAAAGCTTCATTGAACAAGCTGAGGTTAGAAGCTGATTGGTTTCTATGCAGAAGGGAGTCTGATTTTGGACTCTCCAGCTTTAGTAAATAAACCCCTTTCTGTCATTTTATCCCCTGCTCCCCATTCCAAGAGCATTTGACCAGAGGTGTAAAGGAAGACACCTTGTCATGGCTAACCAGGCAAACAGAAAGCAATGCACAGCAACAATCAGACAGAAGCAAGGTGCTGAAGTGCTTATTATCCATGTAAGTGGCATGAATTACTGCAGGACTGTGTTGATATTGGAAGTTATTGATAATGAAGCATACACCTTTCCCTGCTTGCTTCTTCCAGCCTTTTGTTATGTCCTTTGTCAGAGAAAGGTCACCATTCAAAAAAACACTTGTGTGTATGGCTCAGATAAATAGGGTTTCTGAAGGTATCAAAGGCTGTGAGTTACGCTGAAGAAGCCAAAAGGGTGAGGATAAGTGGGCTTAAATGGAACCAAGAGATATTAGTATTGTATTTAGGTCTGCTCTAGTTGGTTCCTCTCCATTCACAAAGGACGCCAGCTGTCCAGTCACATCATTTTTGAAAATCTCTGGTGCACCCTCTCTCTCGCGGGAGGCACTCTCAAAAAAAATCTTCCTGCAGGAGACGTGTCTTTAATGAAGCTGGCCTACTATGAGTACTGAAGAAGTGGTTAAAGTGATCCTATCAACATATTAGAAAAAATGAACTGGCAGCACCCTGTGGAAAGGGTACTCTGATAGTCAACTTTACTGTGTGCAACTTGCGGAAACTTTTAACTCTTCCAAAGCTAACTGCTAGCCAACCACCCTGCTGGGTGTCATGGTTCCTCCTGTCAAACCCTACATCACCACTACTGTGTCCTGTAATGAAGAAGGGTTCAGCGTAGCAGGGAATATGCTATTTTATTACTGTCTATGTCCCCATTAAGTACATCAACTTATCAATTTGTCCACAAGAACCTGGGAAACCCAAAACGTTAGAGTTGCCACCAGCACAAAATCTTATGATGGGGACGCATGTTCCATTGACAAGTATCATTCCTTAACTTTATACAGATTTCCTCTTACGTCAAGCTGCATTTCTGGGACCGGAAGTGAAGGAAAACCTCCCCAGAGACAGAGCAAAAAATTAACTGACGAGGATTTAAACTCTTATTCTATGCAGAAAACTAACAAAAATATAAAAGGTGAGAACATGCTCACCTTCTGTGTACACCACAGCCGCTCCATTTAGATCTGGGAGCTAAAAGTACACTCAGTACTTGTGTGTTTGCCACCCAACCCATTTCTAATGCCTAGATAAAAAATTGGATTTTACATGAGAGTTTACATGTAGATGAAGAGAATACACGTTTACAATCAAAATTATAATCAATTAGCTTCTTCATACGGTTATATGCTGCATTTTCCATCATGCTCGAGGTGATTGTAGCCGTATTAGTGCACTTGCAACACAAAAAAACAAATGAGTACTGTCTACTAACACCAAAATTCTCAGGACAAGCTTTTGGGGTGTACCCCCTTCTTCAAGGTCCAAGCAGGTCGCATTCCCTGCATTAAGTTAAAAAAATGTTTAGGCATTAGTATCACATTAGTGAACCGCACTGTATGTGTCTATGGACTCAGGATCGAGCACGCAGGTGTGCCACCATAGGAAGCAGCTTCCTATGGTGGCACACTAAAGGCTTCCTATGGTGGCACACTGAAAAGAGAAGTCAGGAGCACCAGTGGGGGACCAGAAAAGAGGAGGATCGAGCAGAGCAGGTAAATATATATATATATATATATATATATATATATATATATACACACACATACAGTGCTCAGCATAAATGAGTACACCCCAACAGATTTGTCAGAAAACCTTTACTTTCCATTCAGAATCAACATTTTCTATGGGACACTAAACTACAAAATACTCCCACAAATGAGGGCCATTGATTGCAAACATAATTTAACCACCACTTCCACCTATCAATCTTTTATTTAACCACTTCCAGTCCAGACACTTTTACCCCCTTCCTGTCCAGGCCAATTTTCAGCTTTCAGTGCTATCACACTTTGATTGACAATTGCGTGGACATGCAACACTGTAACCATATGAATTATTCAGCATTTTTTTGAGACAGATAAAGCTTTATTTTGGTGGTATTTATTCACCACTGGGATTTTTATTTCTTCTGCTCTATAAATGAAAAAGTTCAAAAATTTAGAAAAAAAGTGTTTTTCTTATAAAATGTTTCAAATAAATAATCTTTCTTCATAAATCTCGGCCAAAATGTATTCAGTTATCTTTTTAGTAAAACAAAGTAACCCAAATTAGTTTATAACCAAAAATTATAATTTAAAACATTTTTTTTACATTTTTATTTATTTATTTTTTGTTTTTTTACATATTGTCACCCTAGCAGTACAGTGTCACCACTGATACTGACACAGTGTGACACTGTACTACTTGTGGGGGGTTATGAAGATTTTTCTTCTTTTTACCCTGATTGCTTTTATACCCATAAAGGCTGTAAAAGCAATCATTTCTCCTTCTCTCTGGCTGCATTCTTGCAGCCATTGAGAAATACTGTGTGAACAATGATGTCAGTAGTAAGCAATGATGTCAGAAGTAACATCTTGCTTACTACTCTTCATGTAATCACTGAATGGCCAATCAGTGATCACATGATCGGGACCTAGCACAGAGGTCGCGTACAACTATTGGTGTTCCACTTTGTCCGGAGGAAACAGTGGGCACCGGATCACAAGCAGGGGGTGGGGAGGCCGTTTATAAATGGACACCCACCCCTGCACTGCCACCGACTGGCCGTTTATATACAACAGCAGGACGGGAAGTTGTTAATTTAAGTTAATTTGCACACACAAAAAAGTATTTTTCCTAACAAATTCATCCAAGACAAAAATGAATACACCCCAATGAAAGTCTTAGGAGCAAAGCTAAATTTTAGACAACAAAATTCTAATGAACAAGAATTCAACTACAGGTGAGTCTAGTTATTCATTAAACAGGCATCCAGCAGATGGTTGATTATAAAAGGGTGTTGCTTAACAACGAAAACCCCTTCCCATTTCATGCTAGCTGCAATGGCACCACATGGAAGAGAAATGTCACAAGACCTGAGAAAGAAAATCATTTCTTTACACAAGAAAGGTGAAGGCTACAAGAAGATCAGCAAAGCTTTACTTTCAGACAAAGCGGGGTCAGGGCATGCTGAAGCACACAGTGCGCAGAAGGTGCCAACTGTCTGCAGAGTCAATAGCTAAAGACCTCCAAACTTCATGTGGCCTTCAGATTAGCACAATAAGAGTGCGTAGAGAGCTTCATGGAATGGGTTTCCATGGCCGAGCAGCTGCATCCAAGCCTTACATCATCAAGAGCAATGCAAAGCATTGGATGCAGTAGTGTAAAGCACGCCGCCACTGGACTCTAGAGCAGTGGAGACGTGTTCTCTGGAGTGATGAACCATGCTTCTCTGTCTGGCAATCCTATTTATGTGTCTGGGTTTGGCGGTTGCCAGAACAGTACTTGCCTTACTGCATTGTGCCAAGTGTAAAGTTTGGTGGTGGGGGAATTATGGTGTGGGGTTATTTTCAGGGGTTGGACTTGGCCCCTCAGGTCCAGTGAAGGGAACTCTTAAGGTGTCCGCATACCAAGACATTTTGGACAATTTCATGCTCCCAACTTTGTAGGAACAGTTTGGGGATGGCCCCTTCTTGTTCCAACATGACTGCACACCAGTGCACAAAGCAAGGTCCATAAAGACATGATGAGTGACTTTGGGGTGGAGGAACTTGACTGGCCTTCACAGAGTCCTGACCTTAACCTGATAGAACACCTTTGGGATGAATTAGAGCAGAGACTGTGAGCCAGGCCTTCTCGTCCGACATCAGTGCCTGACCTCCCAAATGTGCTTCTGGAAGAATGGTCAAACATTCCCATAGACACCCTCCTAAACCTTGTGGACAGACT